AATGGAGACCTCGACATCCCTCTGTCAATAACTGATGGAAAATCAGTAAGGATATAAGAGACTTGAAACACAGTATCAACCAACCTAATCTAATTGCCATTTATAGAATACCCAATAACAGCATAAAAATTTCAAATGCACACAGAATATTCACCAAAGTGGACCACATTTTATCACACAACTCAGTTCTCAATCAACTTAGAAGTATTAAAATCATACAAAAAATATTCTGTGATCACAACAAAAATAAACCAGGTATCTGCAACACAAAGATATTTGGAACATCCTCAAATATTTGGAAAGTAAGCAAAACCCTTCAAAAGAACCCATGGGTCAAAGTAGAAATCACAAGTGAAGTTAGAAAATACCTTTAACTCAATGAAAATAATACAACATCAAAATTTGTGGGATGTAGCTGATCCAGTTTTTTTAAAAGACTTTATTCATTTGAGAGGAGAGAGAGAGAGAGGAAGAGCACAAGCTGGAGGGTAGGGGCAGAGGGAGAGGGACAAGCAGACTCCCCACTGAGCAGGGAGCCCGATGTGGGGCTCCATCCCAGGACCCTGGGATCATGAGCCAAAGGCAGACACTTAACCGACTGAGCCACCCAGGCGCCCCAGCTGATACAGTTTACAGAGGGAAATTTATAGCATGAAATCAAGGAATCAAAGCATCAAATCAGTGGTCTAATCTTCTATCTCAAGAAACAAGGAACAAATTAAACCCCAAATAATTGTAAGGTAGGAAATAATAAAGATAAGGTGCCCCTCTGGGAAGGTTTTTTTAATTAAGAATTACATTTCTATGGGGTGCCTGGGTGGCTCAGTCATTAAGTGTCTGCCTTCGGCTCAGGTCATGATCCCAGGGTCCTGGAATCGAGCCCGGCATCGGGCTCCCTTCTCCTTCTCTCATTCCCCCTGCTTGTGTTCCCTCTCTCGCTGTGTCTCTCTCTGTCAAATAAATAAATAAAATCTTTTTTAAAATAAATAAATAAATAAATAAAACATGTAAAATCTTAAAAAAAAAAAAAACTTAAAATAAATACATAAACCTTCCCAGAAAGGGATTTTTTTTTTTTTTTAAGATTTATTTATGTATTAGAGAGAGAGAGAGAGAGAGAGGGAGGGCATGAGTGGGAGGAGCAGAGGGTGAGGGAGAAAATCTCAAGCAGACTCCCCGCTGAGTATGGAGCCCCACATGGGGCTTGCTCTCACAACCCATGAGATGGTGACCTGAGCGGAAACCAAAAGTCAGACACTCAACCAACTGAGCCACCCAGGAGCCCCAAAGGGATTTTCTTAATACAAAACCTAGGTAGCCCTAGATATCTTTGTTGATAAATCCTATCAATCATTTAAAGAAAATTATTATCGGTTCTACACAAAACTTTCAGGAAACTGCAGATGAAGGAATATTTTCTCACTTGTCCTATGATGTCAGCATTACCCTGATGCCAAAACTAAACACATTACAAGAAAACTAAAGACCAATATTTCAGATGAACAGAGAAACAAAAATCCTTAATAAAACACTACTAAATTGAACCCAGCAATATATAAAAAGAACAATACATTAGAGTCAAATGAAGTTTATTCCAGTAATAAAAGGTTGGTTTAACATTCAAAAATCAATCAATGAAAAACAAATCATTGTGATTCACCATATTAACAGATTAAAGAAGAAAAGCCACAGTCATGTCAAAAGATGCCGAAAAAGCAGCATTTGACAAAATCCAACATTATTCATTATAAACGTTCTCAACAAACTAGAAATAGAAGAGAACGCCCTCTATCCGAAAAGGTTACCTATGAAAAACCTACAGCTAACACCATAATGGTGAAAGACTAAATGCTTTCCCCCTGAGACTAGAAAACAAGACAAGTATATTCACTTTCACCTCATCTATTCAACACTGTACTGAAGAGTCTAGCCAGTGCAACGAGCCAGAAAAAGGAAAAAGAGGCATCCAGATTGAAAAGGAAGAAATAAAACTGTCTTTATTAATAGGAGACATGATTGTCTATGTATGATATTAGTGTGATATTGGTGCAAGGATAGACATAAACATCAATGGAATGGAACAAGAATTCCAGAAAGAGACCCACATATACATGTTTAGCTGATTTTCAACAAATATGCCAACACAATTCAACGAAGACAGACTAGTGTTCAACAAATGGTTCTGGAACAACTGAACATACATATGCAAAACTATATACAAAAATTAACTTGATACGGGTCATAGACTTAAATGTAAGGGCTAAAACTATAAAAATTTTAGAAGAAAACATAAGGAAAGACCTTTTGACTTTGGACTAGGGTAAGATTTCTTAGATAAAACACCAAAAGCAAAATCCATAAAAGAAAAAAATTGATAAACTGGACTTCATCATGATTAAAAACTTCTGCTCTATAAAAGACATTATTAAGAGAATGAAAAGACAAGCCATAGACTGGAAGAAAATATTTGCAAATCCATCTGACAGAGGTCTTCTATCCAGAATATGTAAAGTTGTCTTACAATTCAATAAGAAGACAAGCAATTTAAAAAACAGCAAGAGATTTGGACAACTCCTCAAAGAGAAAAGAATGCCAAATAAGCACATGAAAATGAAGTGGAATATCATTAGTCATTAGCAAAATGCAAATTAAAACCACAGTGAGGTATCACTATAAATTAGGATAGCTACGACTAAAAACACTGATGGCAGAGATGTGGAGCAGCTGGAACTCTTATACACTGATGGCAGGAAAGCAAAACAGTACAGTCAATTTGGAAAACAGTTTGGTAATATCCTGTAGAGTTAAACATACATCCTATATACAAATGTTTATAATGGCTTTCATTATAATCACCCCAAACTAGAATTTACCCAAATGTCTTTTGACTACTGAGTAAACACACTATGTTACATCCATACAATGGAACGCCATTCAGCAATAAAAAGGAACTGACACATACAACACACATATGAATCTCAATACATTATACCGAATGAAAGAGGCACACTCAAAAGGCTTCCCACTGTATGATTCCATTAATATAAAATTCTGGAAATACTACAGGGACAGAAAACTGATCAGTGGTCGTCAGGGGCTGGGGGTCAGGGGAGGGATTAACTACAAAGCAGCACAAGGGAACTTTCAGGGGCTGATGATAGAAATGTTCTGTTGGACTGTTGTGGTGGTTGCTCAAAGGTATGCATTTATCAAAATCCCTACAACTATATCAAAAAGTCGATTTTACTGCACATAAATTAAACTTCAATAAATCTTACTTTTTAAAAAATTATGATATATCCATACAGTTGTATGTTATGTAATCATTAAACAAATAAGAGTACCATATATGCTGGTAAGAGGATAATCTCTAACATACATTGTTAGGAGCAAAAAGCAAGATACAAAACAATAAATACGTGATGCTTCTATTTATGGTACTACCGTCTCTGGGGCAGGGATCTGGAGCAGGAGCGTATACCCTTCTGCACATTTTCAGTTATTATTTCTTTAACCATATGCTTGTATTACTTTCAACTGGAAAAAGGGGAAAAAAAAAAAAAGACAAACCACACCTATATCCAGGTCAAGGAAAACTCACAAGTGTCTGGCCCAGAGGACTGAGTCAAGTAAGCCTAAGAAAACATTTATAAGAATATGGAACATAGCACCAGACACTCTAGAGGTACTCAATAAATAGCTGGGGGAAGAAAATTATTTGGAATGAAGTCAGAAGGCAGACCCTGGACAAAGAGATCTCCATCTAGACACCAGATATTCAGCTAGCAGAGCCCCTATTTTAGACAAGGAGCTAAACTTGGATTGCTCACATTAGAAAAAGAAAAGGAAAGGGGCGCCTGGGCGGCTCAGTCATTAAGTGTCTGCTTTCAGCTCAGGTCATGATCTCAGGGTCCTGGGATGGAGTCACGCATCTGTCTCCCTGCTCAGAGTCTGCTTCTCCCTCTCCCTCTGCTGCTCCCCCTGCTTGTGCTCTCTCTCTCTCTCTCTCTCTCTCTCAAATAAATGAATAAAATCTTAAAAAAAAGAAAAAAGAAGCATAAAAACCAAATATTCTGGATTCACTTTGGGCAAGCTGTTTCTCAGCATTCCTCTGCAAGCATGCTGTGTGCCCTAACCTCAGCCTGCTCAGGGATGGGATGCAAGCCATTCCTCCAGTGAACAGATCCCACCCCAAGAGGCCACCTCCAGGACCCCTCCTGTGGTGCAAGTGCTACAGCCCGACTCCCAGAGCATCCTGGGGCAGGCTTTCCCCCAGCCACTCTAAGTCAGACACTCTGAGAACTTTCTGAAGGAACAAAATGACCCTGATAGTCTCGCTGCACTCCAGACTGCAGACAAAGTCCATTCTGGCATGTCAGGACCATCTCTACACCACGGCTTCATGGAAAGAAAACTCGAGCAGAAAAGTCAGATACGGAAGCAAGGCCCCTCGGCAGTGGTAAAAGGAACTCCCAGGGTTTGGCACAGCTTCTTTCAGCAAGCTTGGTATCAGGAAGCCGGGAACTCCAGAATGCAAAGTGGACAAAGAGAAAGGTGCTGGAACGGCCAGCCTCTGAAACTCCTCTTTGTTCCCTGCTTTATTTGGATATGCTTCCCTGAAGCCACGTAGTTCTGATACCATGGCTCGGAGCCTCTGTGCCGGGTAGCCTTGTCCAGCTGCCCTTGGGTACCTGGCTTCCAAGGAGCAACCACATAGGTTCGACCCGCTCCCTCCCCTCCACAGAGACAGGCTGGGCCGGCAGGTGTAAGCTCCCAGAGGCAGGATGGGGTAAGGTATAGCAAGGGCGTAGAATGGGACTGGGGTAGGAACCACCCAAAACAAGTCCTTTCCAGGCACCCGCAGACTCAAGGACACAGAGGTAAGTCAGAACAGAATCTTGCGTTCTCAGAGCACATCACTTGTATAGCACTGGGTTTCTGACTCCCGGGCCACGGACCCAGACCTCCCACGGGCCGCGGGAAGAAACAGGAGCACTTACCGGGGAAAGATGGCAGTCATCAGGGCTGAAGCATAGCCAGGCTTGCAAGCTCCCTCTGAAAAGTTTGCGTACTTGGTGGCTAACTCAGCAGGCCTATGGGAAGAGAAGGAAAGTCACAGCTTGCCAGGCACTGAGCAATCAGTAGGGTATTAGTTCTTGGAGAGCTGTAGGTTTTTTTAAACTTTGAATAAAGCTTCATTCTCTACAATCAGCCTTTCAGCCCCTTTTCTATACCAAGGCTTTGTGGGGGGAAGGGGGGAATCCCAAACCCAAAGCCCTAAAGGAATAATAGGTAGATAAATTAGCAAGGCCCCTCTTATAGAATTTCATAAAAGGAACTCACTGGGTTTTGCACAGATTCTTTGCAGCAAGCTTAATACCAAGGAAAGCAGGAACTCCATCCAGGCTCCCAGACCTAGCGAGAGAGCTGCCCAGGCTTTGACCGTCACAGGCACTGCCCTTTCAAGCTTCATTGTGGGGCCTTACATACCAGCCATGCCTGCTTCTATTCTCTCCACACAGACATTCAATGACCCAGCCAGTGGGAACCACTCTTAGTGTCCTGAAGTCAAATATATGTTGGGGCTATTGCTGTAATGATTAGATGTTTAGCTGGAGATGCTCTCCTGCTCTCCTATTCTCTCTGCCTGGAATGTTCTTCCTTGTCCCTCTTCACCTGGCTATGCCTACTGGTCCTTCACAACTAAGCTCAGGTCTCAACTTCACTGGGAGTAATTCCCAACCCCCAGGTTGGCCTAAGTGCCTCCCCTGTGCCCCATGGTCCGTCCCCCTGCCACCCACATTACATGCCATACTGTACTGTAATAGTTGGTAGTATGTCTCCCTCATTATACTGCAAATTCCCAAGGCCGGAGTCTGATTTAACCCTGCATCTCCAGTCCCTTGTGAAGAGATGGGCCCACAGAAGATGCCTATAATTTTCTGAAGGAACAAAATGACTCTGATACAGTCTCACTGCACTTGTATTGAAATCAAGACAATCTCAGGAGCCCCCAAGTCAGAGTGTTTGCTGAATATCTGCGGAATATTTTTTCAGAAGACTTGTGTGTCCTAGCTCTGGTTTTGTGGTGGCAACTGCAGTCAAATCACTTCACGTCTTTGGGCTTCCATGTCCTTAGGTGTCCCATGCGGGGCTGGAGTCACGGCCCCACCACGAAAAATCCTTGCCAGTGCAGTCCCGAGAAAACTACAGCGGAAGAAGAGGGCTCATTCAGCGACTGCGAGGTTGGAGGCCCTGCATGCTGGGGCACCTGAGGGAGCCCTGGTGGGCTGCCAGTTCCCAGACCCAACCTCCCCCGCCTCCACCCTTGGGCCCGCGGCCAACACGCTGATGCCCAGATGCTCTACCGTGCTGGGGCCCCCTGGTAAGTCTCCCCTCGGGGCTGCCTTCTGCAGGAACTGGGTGGGGCAGGTCTGGGGGAACGGGGGCTGGCGCCTGGCCTGGAGAGCCAGAAACGATGATGCCGCTGCCCATCGTGTGTCATGTGTGATTCACTCGTGTGCCCGTGTGGGCCTAGCCCGGGGCCGGGCACAGAGGAACTGCTCACTGAATTTAGACAAACTCATCTGTATCCATGTGCAATTTCTTGCGAAAAAAATTTTTTTTTTTTTTTTTTTAGCCTTTCCTACCAAGGAAATGTAAAGCCAGAAATGCAGATGCAAATGCCCGTGCTAAGCCAGAGTTGAGACTTTGGTAGGCCAAAGAAAGTCAAAGGTTTAACAAGAGAATTCACGTAACAGTATTTTCTTATGTAAACAACTTACTTCCGAAACAAAATGTGCAGCCCAAGGTCTGCGGACTCAGGTAATCTCTCACGGAGAAGAGGGGGCACTGGCCAGGTGGAGCACAGGGAAGCCAGAACCCAGCCAGGAAGGCTCTTCCCATGATAGTGCAAGGTAGCCAGATGTCGAGGATGAGCAGCTCTAAATCAACCCCCCATTTAGAAGGCAACAGTAACTTCTAAAACATACAGCCCCGAGGACAGTGGGCCAGGTCAAGTTATTACCAAATTAAAATGCCTTAGCAGTGGCCTCCTGACTACCCCAGGGAGAGAAGAATAGGGGGAGTGTTGGGGATTCTGAGTCATACAGCACCCTGGGACCTCTGGGGCAGTTAGCGGTCAAAACCACCAAGATTAACAGTCGCCAACTCTCTCAGGCCAGAATAGTTAGTTTCTCTAAGGCACTCACACTCCAAATGCCAGGAGGCCCCCACAGATGTCTGATCAAATCATTCAGCCCTTGTTCTTCTCATACTCTCCAGCTGGCCTTTCATTTTGGGCGATTTAGCATTTCAACCAGTAAGAGCATCCATTGTCCTGCAAACGTGACTACCAAGCCCCTGGGGTGAAGAGTGTGAACCACTGCACTCAAGAGGAAATCCAGGCAGACAGACTGGAACCCAAGAGAAGGAACCACACTTCTACTCCCCTGCTTCACCCAGGAGCATAGAGTTTAAGGATCAGGCCAAGCAAAGGGTTGTAAATGGGAAGAGCACAGGATCTGGAATGAGAAACTCACAGAGGACACTGGCAAGTGGTGTGACTTGGGCAAGTGATGGAAAATCTGATTCTTGGCTTCCTCATCTGCAAGTGGGAACCACTCAATTCCCAGGGACCTTGGGAGGATGTGGTGAGAAAGCACACTTGGAGGGGCTGGCTGTCCTCTGGAGCACCGAGCACCACACCAATGCTATGTGAGAGATGAGGTGGCAGAGGCAGGCATCCAAATCATGATGAATGATGAATGCTTCACTCAAGTTTGGATTCTATGATAGGGGAGCGTCACTGAATGACACCCAGTGGGAGAGTGCATTCAGGGATCAATGTTTGGGAGGTGAGGAGGCTTCGAGAGGCTGGAAGGAGCAGTCCATGAGACAGAACACTAATCTGGAGAGAGTGAGTGTTCTCTCAGTTGCCAAAGGCCAGGAAGTATCTCAAGGACATAGCAACCACCTGCACTGAACACAGTGGAAGGCCTGGCAAGGTGTGGCCACTGGCTTGACAGCTGGCTTTGGCAACATGGAGGTTACTCCTGACCTTGACAAGAGCTGGTTCACTGGAGAGTGGGGGTGAAAGGCTGATTTCACTGGGTTTAAGAGAAAACAGAATGAGTGGAGTCATGGAATAGAGACTACTGTTTTTGCTATAAGGGGAGACAGAGAAATGGGGCAATAGTTGAAGGGAGGAAGCAGGGAAAGATGTTTTTGAGGTTAGGAGACAATTTAGCACGTTTGTAAGTTGGTTGGAATAAGAGGGAAACTCCTGATGTGGCAGATAGGACTGTCCTTGAGGAGGTGGGAGGGGGGAAGCAGGGGGAAGGACCTAATACAAAAGTAGGAGGGCTGGCCTTCCTCTGCTCACCCTGCTCCACACTGGCCATTGACTGCCTAGTCATCTTTGCAACACTTGGTTTAAGCACCAGTCCCTTCCCCAGCAGAACCAAGCTACCTGGTCATGACAATGGAACAAGACCGTGTAGGTAACACCTGGCATGCTGCTTGACAAGCAACAGTAAATAAATAGTAGTGTCCTTTCAAGCCAGTATAGCAATTTAATCAGAGCTAGCCAATATTATTGTCGGGAGGACTTGCGTGAACACACAGATAAGAACCCTCGGCCCAGGGCTGGCCCCACCACTGCTTCTTCAATGCTATCCTCCCTAAGCTTCCTGATGAAGATGCATTTCTCCAATTACTAGAGATCTGTGTCTGGAACATGACTTGGGAAATGGCAGAAGCAGCTTAGGTTAGCTTTAGTAACCCTATTCTGTCATTAAACATTTTCATTTTTCTTTCTTTCTGAAGTAGACTAATGAAAGAAAGGCTACTTAACACTGCCATAGATCTTTTCAGCTCCAAGATGAAACTTTTCTCCTTAAGGATAATTTCTATCTCCTCTGACTCCCTCTTCCATCTGACTCCATTATTACAGATCTGCTGGCTCTTCTTGCATTATCGTTAGTCTCTTCATTCACCCACATTTGGGGGCGGCCAATCCATCCTGCCCTGGGCGTCACTGACCCCTTGCTCTTGTGAACGCCAATGCAGGCTGGGGCTTCCAGATTTTGCCCCACTTACGGTGATCTATAATAAACTTGGCAGCACTGTCCTATGTCTCTTTCATCACTTTAAGGCAGAGGGACTGCTTGATCTGAGCCATCTGGAATCTGTGGTATTTCTCAGCTCTAGAGGACCTGCCTTTCAGCTCTTGCTACTTACTGTGCACTGTAATACCTTTTCAACAAACCAGGCCACTCTGCTCTTTGATCACTGATTCTGGAGTTGACATTATTGCAGTTTATCTTTGTCTCCAGGACCTTGTCATTTATTTCATTTTGGCTGAGAGGATGCTCTCTGGTAAGCTCTTGCAAGTGCTTTAGCCTGAGCTGTATAGGCAATGCTCACAGAGACTCTCCATGAGGGATCTGTTGCAACTGCTCCAATTCAATTTTGTTTCTACATTTCTTAAAAACAAAACAAAACAAAACAAAACAAAAACCACATCCTCTTTCAGGGTGGTAGTGGAAAGAACATGGAAACTAACATTTACTGAGCATAAACCATATGCTAATATTGACCTAATTATTTCGTTTAGCTTTACAATAATTCTCTCAGCCAGTACAGCCCTGAGATCCAGGCAGGCAGGGTGTAGAGTCCGAGAGAGGACATGGTTGGAAGATGTGCTGTTCTATTTTTAACACTATAAAATTTCAAATGATAAATTTTGATAGGGATTGCATTGACTCTGTAGATTGCTTTGAGTGGTATGTACATTTTAACAATATTAATTTTTCCAATCCAAGAGCATGGAATATCTTTCCATTTATTTGTGCCTTCTTCAATTTCTTCCATCAAAGTCTTACAGTCTTCAGTGTACAGGTCTTTCACCTCCTCGGTTAAATTTATTTCTAGGTGTTTTACTCTTTTTGAGGCAACTGTACATGGATTTTTAAGGAGTTTCTCTTCCTTATAGTTACTGCTGTATAAAAATGCAACTGATTTTTGTGTATTGATTTTGTATCCTGCAACTTTACTGAATCCATTTATTAATTCAAACGGTTTTTTGGTGGAG